ATAAATCCCCTTATATTAGTCATTTGACAAAAAATCAAACTACATCAAAGATTCTGAATTCTGTTCATCCCAATATTGTCTGTATTTGCGAACGTTGGTCATTAATATTTTCTCACCACGAAAAAGTTATTATTGTTGATAATGAAATTGGGTTTGTCGGTGGAATTGACCTTTGTATTGGGAGGTATGACACTCATGACCACCAAATATCACCTTGTGTCAAACAAGATGGTCATTGTGTTTATCCTCCAATTGATTACAACAATATCCAAATTCATAAAACTAATTCACTCCAATATCCAAGAATGCCATGGCATGACATTCACTGTATGGTTAATGGAACAATTTTAAATGACCTCCAATATCATTTTCATCAACGATGGCAATTTTATAATGGGACCATTGAGTCTATTGCTGTAAATACCTACGAGGGTTCAGATGAAATGAAATTATGTAGATCAATATGTAATGGTTCTGGGTCTCAAAATGAATGTAGTATTTATGGAGAAATGCTTCGGTTAATAAGAAAAGCAGAACATTTTATTTATATTGAACAACAATATTTTTTAAGTAATTGTGGCACACAAAATATTTCAAATAAACTTGGTCAAGCAATAGCCAAAAAGATAGTTACATCCTTTGAAAAAGGAAAAAAATTTTTTGTGGTCATAGTGTTACCAGTGTTCAGTGAAGGCCAATTAAGGCAAAAATCAATTAGAAAAATTTTAGAGTATACCAGGAAATCTATATATGATGGTCCCAATAGTATTTTTAATATTGCTAAAAGGAATGGTGTAAGGGATATTTCCAGTTATTTGTGTGTTTGTAATTTGTACAATTATGGATGGTGTGAAAAATATGGAATAACTTCAAGTCAAATTTATGTTCACTCAAAGTTAATGATAATAGATGATAAATATGCACTAATAGGTTCAGCTAATATGAATGACCGTTCATTACGTGGAGATCGTGATACTGAAATTGCAATTTCTATTAAAGAAACAAATCAAATAAAAGAATTATTTGGAAGAGAAGAAATCAATGTCTGTAAAAAAATTTCATCATTGAGAAAAAAATTGTGGATGGAACACCTTGGTTTCAAAGAGCAATTAGCCTTTCTTGTTGAAGATGCTTATGAGTGTTTCGAATCAATTTGGAAACAAGTAGCTCATGAAAATAGACTTATTTATGAACAAGTCTTTCCATTATTTCCAAGAGACGCTTTTACATATTACATCAATACAGAAAAACATACTCATCCGATTGCAGTTAAAGAAAAATTACCTTTGCTGGTTAAAGTCCAAGGTCATCTTGTGTTAGCATCTCTAATATTTGGTTCAAAAGAACATCAACGAAGTTATGGATTAACTGCTGTTGTTACTTAATTACATATATATTTTTCAATTAAATATAAAAAAAATATCAGAACAAATCGATCTTTTAAAAAATGTTTACTTCTTCTTTCTAGAAGCTTTCTTCATTTCTTTCTTCTTATAGTCTTTGAATGAATGGCACATTCTCCATTTCTTCTTATGTTCCTTTCTAGCTTTTCTTGGTGCTTTGGTCTTCTTATCTAATCCTGCTCTAATTAATTGATGTTTTGGAACAAATTTCTTTAAGGCTGAAAGTGTGTCATAAATTAATGCAAATCCTGATGTCTTTCCTCCTCCATACTTAGTGACAAATCCATTAAGAACAATAGTTTGAACATCTTTTACCTTGTACATTTTAGCAAGCTTTTCTTTAATTTCGGTGAATTTTGGTTGAACAATTCCTGGATGATAAATATCAACAACTACTTGCTTTCTGCAAAGTAATGGGTTGACAATAAGATTTCTTGTTCTGATTGTAACTTCACTCTTTTGAGTTGCCATTGTTACAATTACGATTTGTTAGTTTTTTTACCCTATTGTTTTTTTTTTCTGGGGTTTTCTTTTCTTATAGTAATAAAATTAATTCAAAATTATTGAAATAGTTTTATTATTAACGAATAATTTTTAGATTAAAAAACAAAATTTATGAAGAAAATAAAAAATAATGTTTTTCCTTTATTGTACTATTTCATGTATTTCTTGATACAGTTGAATTGGTTTATTTTGAACACTAGGCATTTGCTTTTTACAGGCAAAGTATTTCAATAAGAACAAAGAAATAAAGAACTATAATAAAAAGAATAAAAAAGGAATACTAAAAATTAAAAATTAGTTTTATTTATTAAAAAACAATTCTTTAAAAATATAATAATTTTATTATAAAAATAAGTCTGGACTTAATGTGAACTAAAAAACAACCCTAACAGTTTACCAGTCAAGATGCACCACTTCAGTAATATCAAAGACGTTGTCGCTATTGATTTCATTAAAGCTTATGCTGAACATATTAAGAAATCAGGAAAGCTTGAAATCCCAGAATGGGTTGATACCGTCAAGACTGGTATGTGCAAAGAACTTGCACCCTTAAATCCAGACTGGATTTATATTAGAGCTGCTGCTATTGCAAGAAAAGTTTATTTGAATAATGGTATTGGAGTAATGGCTCTTAGAAGAGCTTATGGTGATCAATACAACAAACACTATAACCCATCTCATAGAACCCTTGGATCAGGAAAGGTTAACAGATATATCCTTCAACAACTTGAAAAGATGGGTTTAGTTGCTAAAGCTCAAAGTGGAAGAACTCTTACCAAAGAAGGAAGAAAGGACATGGATAAAATTGCTTTCCAAGTTTATAAGGAACACGAAGCTAAGGTTACTCCAATGATCCTTATGCCAATGAACTAATTGAATTACTGGTAACTGTGATATTAATTAGTGTTTTCTGTAAAAGTGTATTTATTTGATTTAATAAAATAGTGCTTTAAGAATAGTGATCCATATAATTTTATTAATATACAAAAGTGTATTTTATTTTAAATTTAATAGAATTTATAAGAAATAAAAATTAAATTAGAGGAGATGATGACAATGCTACACAATAACGACATACTAATGAAGTGTCATTAATATAATCACTACACGCAGAATGTATTCCATGACCACATGGATAAATTGTCACTGGTTGACCATCGAAAAGAGTGTTTTTACAAATTAAACATGTTCCTTTAACTGTGACAGTAGGATAACTTTGAATTTGACTAAATCCAGGTTTTGGAGGTGTGGTAATAACGCTATTAAGTTCATTAAAATGAAGATGAAATAATTGAGCTTTATTTAAGTAATTGTTATAAGAACGATGAAAAATTTTTAAAATTTGAATATGTTGTTCTTTTCCTTTTTTGTTTTTATAACTTCCAATTTGAATGTTTCTTATAATGGTTTCAATTTCAATTTCTTTATTTATTATTAATTCAAAGAACTTTTCTAATTCATTGTCATTAATTGGATATGAACAAATATTGATAACTACCATTTCTTGATAATTTTCAATTTCTTCTTTTGTGCATTCATTTAATATATTTTTAAAAAATTCATACTCTTTCATTTTATATAATAGACTTAGTACTTCTCCTTGATTAGACAGTTCTTTAAGCTCTTCTATTTTATTTGTATTATTTCCTTCTAAAATCTTTTCAATAGTTTTGTCCATTTCTTTTCTTTTACTTTTTTTGAGTTTTAGTTTTTGTGAATTTTGTTTTTTATCTTTTTAATTTTTCCAAATTTTGTTTTCTATTTACATTTAAATGATTGCCTTTCACTAAAATGAATGGTTGCTGGATAACTCTCAACTGTCAACGAATTTTATTACTCCGATAACAGAACATAATAATTTTTATTGGTTTTTATTTGATTGACATAAAAATATTTTTTGTGTTGAGATTAATAATTTTTTTAAAAAATTATTGATTTTTATTGTAATATTATATAAATATTTTATTGAAAAGAGATTATTTATTTTCACATAAATGTTTATGACATTGTTTTCGAAGTATTTATGAAGTATTGAAGAGTTAATAATCAAAAAGTATTGAATTTATTATTTTGTATAATCTTATTACAAAAGGCTATTGTTTCTGTGTTATTAGACTATTGAATTTATTATTATTTTATCAGATATTGTTCAAAAAGAATATTTTTTGAAGAATTTAATAAGCAACACCAGTGTTGTCTTTTTGTCTGTAAAGAAAGAATAGGAATAAAAGTATTGAATTAAGTCTATTGATTTTTATACTAATTACTTTTTGATTCAATGGTTTATGAAACAATTTTAAATTTTATAAGCAAAATTAATTTAACACAAATAAAATTAAGGAGGAATTGTTTCACTGTCTCAGCGTTATCTCTCTATCAAAAATTTAAATTAGACTATATCCTTAGAGGTTGAGTTTAAAAAACAGAATATGTACACTTAATAAAGAACAAAGGTAATAATTTAAATGATTTCAATATGAACTAGTAGCGCTGAACCTAGAAAGTTCAGAAATGTTAGTTGGTAGTATTTTATAATTCAAAAATAAACCATGTCATTGGTGTTAGGGAGACTAATATATCAATAATAGAACATAGATTTTATTCAGATAATATTAACCTAGGTTATTTAACTCATGAACTTGTGACCATATTTATGGAATTGTATCTTTTGTAAAATCTAGATCATCACATAGCTCTTTACTAGTTGTTGGAGTATATTACATTTAAATAGAATATAAAAGTTATGTATTGAAAATGGGCAACAGATAGAATATATAAATAACAATATTTTTTTTCTATTCATTACAAAAAAGAAGATAATTATTAAAAGAAGAAAGAATATTGGAAAGATGTGGATGTAAGTTCAGAACATATTTACTTGACCATTTTGGATGGATAATTATGAAATAAGAAAAGAAACAAAAAAATTTAAAATTTTATTTTCTGGAAATACTCTTCTATATGAAAATAAAAAATTACATTATAGTGTTGACTTTGTTATTATAAATGTAATTATGATAACTCATTAGAAAAAGAAGCAATTAAGAGACAACAATCTATTGCAAATTTCGTTATTAAAATATTAAAAGTTTTCAAGTAAAAATTGAAGTTTTGAATCAAATTGGTCAAAGAACAAAAATTAGAAAGAATAATTCAAAAAACATATATTATACTAGTTGTTTATAGATTTGAAGATAGCATTTGTAACTCAGCACTAGATTCTTATGTTGAATATAAACCATTCTTCTTAAACAATTCTTTGAATCCAACAAAACAGACGAAAAAAAAACAATATGATTCTTACTCAAAAAAATCAATCAAAAGTATTCTTCTTAATTCTTATTCTTCTTTATTTCTTAGCCATTTTCTTAAAATTTTTTTTAGGTTTACCAGACTTTGGTTTTTGAGGATATTTTACTTGTAGTTTATCTACCTTTTCTTTTCTTTGAATGGAAAGAGTAGTAGGAATTCTTCCTTTTAAAGTATCAATTTCTTTAATTTCATGTGTTGTGTTATTAATTTTGAACATTTCAGGATCATCTATCCCTAATTCTTTTAATTTAAGTTTTCTTTGTCTAATAATATTTGGATCAACGTCAGACTGTTTTTCTTCCTTCTCTTCACTAATATCACTTTCTTTTAATTCATCTGTTGTTTTTACCTCTTCTTCCATTGACTGTTTTGTATTAGTGTTTTCCTTTTTCTCCGATAAAAAAGTTACTACCTTTCTAATTGCTTTATTGAACAAAGCCATAACCTGTGCACTAGCTAATTTAAGTTCAGAACCAATTTCATCAACACTCTTATACTGTAATCCCATACCAACAAAAATAATTTGTTGAGTGATAGTGAGTTGAATATCTAATCCATGAGAAACTGCTTGGGCAATACTTGGAAGAAGATCTAAAACAATATGGTAATCAATAAGATTCTTTGAATAATATTCTAATCTTTTAATTGCTCGTTGATCAAAATTCAATGAAACAGTATTGTCTTTGTTTTTACATTGAACAAGTTTGAAAGCATCAACAGCACTCATGCTTTTAAATTCAAATCCAAGTAATAAAGAAAATCGTTTCTTAAAGTCTTGAGTATACTGTTCTTCCCAATTACCCATATTTTTACTTAATTGTTTAACCATAATACATGAATGTTCTCCAGTGATATCATTTGCAGTTAATCTTAGATAAGTTGGTTGGTATCCAGCACCAGTCCAAAACTTAGATAATTGTGGAGTATAACCAAAAGCTACACCTAAGTAATCTAACATTTCAGCCTTTCTATTTCCAGGGTTTATAAGTAATGGTTGTAATTCTTTTCTTACTTCAACTTCATCAGTGTCCATTTGTTTTTGATCGTTATCTGCTTTTGATTCTTCTTCCATCTCTCCTAATGATACAATACATCCTGTAAAATATAATTCAAGCATTTGAAGTATTTTACTTCCATATCCCATACTTGTAACGTCTGGGTGTGTACAAATTCTAACAACTCTTGCCCCCATTAATCCAGCAAATTCATCATCTAAAAATTGTTGAGTTAATGTCCATGGAATAAGGTCTCCAGCTTCTTTCTTTCCTCTAAACCAACTTTCAGAAACTCTTTTTCTTGCTATTCCACCTTCTAATGATAGTTGTACAGCAGCTAAAATATCTGGTAATTCTTCTCCATTTTGAACGGGTCCAGTTAAGATAAAGATCATATGATTAGGTGCATCAGCTAACATTTGCATATCATTTGGTGTATTTTTATAATGTGAAGTTACAAATAAACCTTGTAATTGTTGTAAAAATTTCTCTGCATCTCTGTTATATGAAAATAAAGTATCTCTGTTAACATAATATAACTCACATTCATCTGGAGATGGTGTAGAAGTAATGTGCATAAGTGTATTTGATGCATCTAAACATAATAACTTATTTAACCATTTTTCAACTTGGTCATTAGAAGAATATCTAATAGGTTCATTTAATGTACATTCTTTAAAGAGTCTACCACTAGAATATTTAGAAATTCCTTCCCTTAACTCTTTAATTAATTTAAGACTTAATGATCTACCTGTTCCTTCATATCCATTGGTTGTAGTTGATAACATAACATTATAATTACCAAGTAATCCCTTTACTAATGGTAATGGAATAGCAGCAGCTTCATCAATAACAAGTAATTCAGCTTGTGATAATTGAGCAGTGTCATTAGGTAAAATGTATTGAATAGTTTGTCTATGGTTTTGATGAATATTTACTCTAACAACTGCTTTTCCATATTCACTTTTAGTTGTCTGAATAACATCAAAGTCAAGATGTTCTTTCATTCCAAATATTTCAAGTCCTTTAACAGCAAATTCAAAGACTGTTTTAACATTTTCAGGGGACGGTGCAGTTACAAATATATTAGAATATCCTAATGCAACTGAACATGCAATGGTTAATCCTAAAGCAGCTGATTTACCACGACCTCTTCCAGCAGTAATACTAATTGTTGTATTTAATGTTTTTTCTTTTAAAGAATCAAATAAACTAACAACACATTTAGCTTGATCGGCTGTAGTAGTAATTTTAACAATTTCATTTAAATATTGAACTTCTTCATAAGTACGTCTTAAATTTTCTAATTCTTCTTTAATTTCAACCTTCTTTTCAACAGGTTCTATTCTTAACGTATGCTCAAATACAGGAACAACATCTAATTCATCAGATAAAACAATTGAATTTTTATTATCTGAAAGTGATAATACAAATCTTTCATTAAATCTACTAGTAATCTCTTTAGTATCTTCTCCACGATATCTGTTATGAATGTCCATATTTAAATTATATAATTGTTTAATACTAGTCATTCCAGTTAATAAAACAATAACTAATCCTCCTCCTCTAACTGTTTCAACAGTTCTACAAAGAATGTTTGGAGTCATTGCTTCAAAGTCTTGAAGAACTAACATACCAAATGTGTTACCAAGAACTTTATGGGATTCTTTATAATAAACATATTTAATTTCTGTTGTTGATAAAAATAATTCAAATGCATTCTCTGCTTCTCCTTTATTATGCATTTTATGTTTTAATCTTTTCTTTTGATTTGAACTAAATGCCAATTCTTTTTTATAACACCACAACACACTATCTTTAGCAACGTTAGCTGCTTTAGTATACATATAATATATGTTCATTACTTGCTCAACTCCTTTACTCCCAACAATCATAACAAATGTCCTTTCTCCTAATTTAACTCCATTTTCAATAAGTGTCTTTAATCTTGGATCAACACGCTTCTTTGACATGTTTCTTTTGTTTCAAATAATTAGGGTTGTGTTTCAGGTTTTCCTTTTTTATAGTTCAAATAACATTTATGTTTTATCCGAATTGTTTTTCTTTTTCGTAATTTTTTTATAAATAATAGAAATAATTAGAACTGATATTAACAAGATCTCAGAAAAGAACTAAATAACAGAGTAAATAAAGATGGCTTCAGAAAGCGAGAAAACTAAGATCGTCACAACATTCCTTAAAGATTCTCCACCAGGAGAATTTAACAACGTTCTCAAAGATTGTAGAGAAGTGGTTGGTGATGATAGTATATTCCAGGAATGTCTTCCAATTTGTTTACATGATTACAATACTGAACAATTAACAGTTGTAATGGATGGAACTAATCCAGTAATTATTTCTAAATACACAGAACAATCTGCTCAAGAATTCATTGACCCGGTTAATAAGAAAGTTGTTACTTTCGATCACTTGAGTAAACAAATTACATCAAGTCAACCACTTTCTTCTGGACTTCCAGGTAATGACTCATTAAGACAAGCTCTTCAAAAGAAATTAGATAATTATGCTAAAGAATTTTATCCAAAAGGTGCTGCTATTGTAATGCCAAAAGATAATAATACATACACAATTATTATTTCTGCTGCTGATTTTAAAGTCGCTCAATTCTCTAATGGTAAATGGAGATCAGAATGGACTATCACAGTTGGAAGTAAAGTTACTTGTGAAGGAAGAATTAGAGTTCAAGTTCATTACTTTGAAGATGCTAACATTCAAATGCATACTGATACTAAAAAGAAAGTTACTTGTAATGGTGGTTCTGAAGATCAAATTGCTCAAAATGTTATTAAGGAAATTAAAAATATTGAAGATACTTTCCATGCAGAACTTGATAAAATCTTTGCTACATTAAGTGATAATTGTCTCAAAGCATTAAGAAGACAACTTCCAATTTCAAGACAAAAGATTAATTGGGCAAATTGGAAAGGTCATAAGATGATGAAATGATGAGATTAATTCCTATTTTTTCAATTTCATTCTTTTTTAATTTTTTTTTAGTAAATTTTATTATAAAGTAATAAAATTTTCTATTTTGATTCTTTTTTTTCTATGAAACAAAAATCCAACTAATTTTTCCTTTTTTGATTTAAAATAAAAAAATAATGAAAAAATTAGAGTAGTTTAAATAGAGATTTTAAATTTAAAAATCAAAAGAACTTAATATATAAATTTTTTTTTACTATGCTTGCAAAACTTCAAAGAAAATTTTATACACCCAAACCTATTTTACCTGCACCTTTTCAAGACTTAAAACGTTTTACGAGAAAAGCCAAAGCAGTTTATAGTCTTTCTGGTGTAGCAAGATTATTAACAAACAAGATTAATGTTGTTAATGGAGCTAACAAAAGTGGTGGACTATGGTTTCATGTAGAAGAAAATGATTGTCTTCTTTCTTTGGATTACACATTTATCACTTGTAAGGGAGTTGGGTTTGGTATTGTATTACAAACAGAAGGAGATAATGTTATTGGACTAGCAAGCTACGGAAAAGGAGTTGCTGGTCTTCGTAACGCTTTGGCCATTGTGTTTAATGTAGCGAATATTAATGATGCATATAGTTATGGAAATCATGAGATAAGTATCTTTGTTGATAAGAATAGGAAAGGAATTGATAATAAATGGACAGAGGCTATTGCTATACAAACTCAATCCCCAATAACTTTTTGGGAAAATAAACAATATTCAATGAAAGTTTTAATTCTAAATAGAAGAATTACTATTTGGATTAATGGTGTTGAAGTAATAAATTATCTTATTAAGGAAAAGTATTGGCAAATCTTTGCAAATAAAAAGAAATATCTTGGTATTGTTTGTGGAACAGGACACTCCTATCTAATGAATTTATGCGTTAATGACTATTCTTTATTGTATATGGATTGTATTGAGTCAACACTTATTTACAATTTAAAACCAATTCAAATTAAAGATATTTATTTTGTAGGAAATGCTAGAGACAAATTTGATCATATTTCTTTAATAGATTCAAAAAATCAAACTTCTGCTTTATGGTATAAACTTACTACTTCTAATACTATTTATATTAAATTTACAGTTTATTTTAGTTTAAATCCATTTGAAGGGTTTGCTATTGTTCTTCAAAATCAAGGAAGTAAGGCATTAGGAGAAAGTGGTAAAGGAAAAGGGTATCGAGGAATTCAAAGTGGTGTTGCAATTGAATGGAGTTGTTTAAGTTTTAAAGAATTAAATGATCCATTATTTAGTCATATTTCAATAATGCAATGTGATAGTAATGGAATATCTAATGACCATTGTAATGCTATTGCATGTTGTGATAAATTACCAAAAAGTATGTGGAAAGGAAATAAGTGTTTATTTGAAATATTATTTTCTGAACAAGCGATTGTATGTTGGGTTAATAATATTTTATGTGTCAAAGGAAATTGTGATTATTTTA